AATAAAAAAAATATAAAAAAAATCGGCCCTGCTCGGGATTGGCAGGGATAGTTGTCAAATTAATTGAAGTTTTTTTTGAGAAAAAAAAAAAAAGAAAATGGCGGACTTCGGAAAAATGACGATTTTACTTAAAAAAAACCGATTATTTTATATAATTGATCATGTTAAATTTTTTTCGTATATTTTTTCGAAAAGTTCATTCAAAAACAAAAATTTTTAAAAAAAAAAGGTACCCAAAAGTCAATTTTTAAAAAAGTTATGGCTATTTGAAAATAAAAAAGCCATTTTTTTGAAAAATTCATAACTTTTTTTGGGTTGGATAAAAAAATTTGAAAAAATTCTCAAAAATGTCTTTCAAAGGGTAGAAAAGAATAGTAAAGTTTCAGCTGAATCTAAAGGGGTCGGGTTCAAAAGTGGTCGATTTGGCATGGAATACCCCATATATATATATATTAGAATGTTTCAAAAAAACACACTATTTTTTTTTTTCGAAGAATATTGAAAATTCTTCAGAGTATCCCTAATCAAAGACGTTGTAAAAATCTCAGCTCTTAATATTAATGTATAGAGGTGGCTGTAATTAATTTTTTATTTCCATTTAAATAACATGGAAAAAATTTTTTTTTTACTTTTGAATTTTGCTAGTCAACAACCAAACATTTTATAGCTATGATCGATATATATTCTTGTAGAAAATTTAACGATCTCCAAAAATCGTCTGAATGAAAATATGCGTACGGCAAACCATTTCGTAGTTATCAGGCCTCAAACATCGAACTGTTTAAAAAAGTAATAATAAATATTTATAAATACGAAAAATGAACTTAAATCACTCGCGTGTAAAAAAAATTTGTCCTTAAATTGTCATGAGCTTAGGATCCTAAACGTGACACAATTTAGGACATTTTATGACACCAATCAGAAATGAAATTTGGATTTTAGTAAAATATTGTGGATATTACTCAGAAAAAAATATTGTTAAAAATTACTTTTATGACAATTTTAGGATACTTTCCTGAAAATTTTAGGACACTATTATGAATTTTAGGACAGATTTATGACAATGTTAGGATACTCTTATGACATTTCTATGACATTTTTATGATCTTTTATGAAAATTTTATAAAAATTTTAGGACCCTTTTATGACAATTTCAGGCCACTTTTATAACAATTTTGGGACACTTTAGATAATTTTATGACAATTTTGGGATACTTTTATGAATTTTAGGATACTTTTATAACAACTTGAAGAAAATTTTAGGATACTTTTATGAAAATTTTAGTACAAATTTATGACAATTTAAGGATAATTTTTTGACAACTTTGACAATTTTAGGACACTTTTATGACAACTCTTTATGACAATTATAAAATTGACATGAAAGTGTCCTAAAATTGGCATGAAAGTATTCGAGAATTGTCGTAAAAGTACTTTGAAATTATCATCAAAGTACCATAATTGTCATAAAATTATCCTTAAATTTCATGAAAACTTCAGGACACTTTTATGACAATTTTAGGACAGTTTTATGACAATTTTAGGACACTTTCATGTCAATTTTATAATTGTCATAAAAAGTTGTCATAAAAGTGTTCTAAAATTCTCAAAGGTGTCAATACAATTGTCAAAAAATTATCCTAAAATAGTAATAAATTTGTACGAAAATTGTCATAAATTTGTACTAAAATTGTCACAAATTTGTACTAAAATGGTCATAAATTTGTACTAAAATTGTCATAAAAGTATCCTAAAATTTTCTTCAAGTTGTCATAAAAGTATCCTAAAATTCATAAAAGTATTCCAAAATTGTCATAAAAGTATCCTAAAATTATAAGTGTCCGAAAATTATCTAAAAAGTGTCCCAAAATTGTTATAAAAGTGTCCTGAAATTGTCATAAAAGGGTTCTAAAATTTTTATAAAATTTTCAAAAAAGATCATAAAAATGTCATAGAAATGTCGTAAGAGTATCCTAACATTGTTATAAATCTGTCCTAAAATTCATGATAGTGTCCTAAAATTTTCATAAAAGTAATTTTTAACAATATTTTTTTTCTGAGTAATATCCACAATATTTTACTAAAATCTAAATTTCCTTTCAGATTGGTGTCATAAATTTGTCATAAAATGTCCTAAATTGTGTCACGTTTAGGAACCTAAGCTCATGACAATTTAAGGACAAATTTTTATTACGTGCGAGTGATTTAAGTTCATTTTTCGTATTTATAAATAAATATTATTACTTTTTTAAACAGTTCGATGTTTGAGGCCTGATAACTCTGAAATGGTTCTCCGTACGCATAGGGTAGATGTATCATTAGTGGCCACTTTAAGCGATTCCATATTTTTTATTTAGAATTTAATTAACTTAAGTAAAGTATATAATAACGTAATATGGATTAATGATATCTTTAATACATTATCGATCGAATAATTAAAAGCAAATACCTTATAAACTTACTTTAGTTTAAAAAAATAGAAATAATTAATAATACCTGCTGTTTCACCAGTAGTGGCCATAGAAGTACTCTTTTTGGCCACCGGTTGTACCACTTGTGGCCATAATAAATAAAAGTTTTTTGGTGGATGGTATATTATTAATATTTACTCAATTGATTAGCAAAATATCAATTTATTTTTAACGTATTTGAACATAAAATAATAAAACTGTTACAAGTAAAGAACTTTAAGTTAATTTTTAGACATTTTTCGCGGTTTTACAGATTTTTTCGCAGGTAATTCTTTAGCTAATTTTTTTCTAGCTTTTTCCTCTAATTTCTCTTGTTTTATCTTTTTATTTCTTTCAATTCTCTCTTCTCTTTCAATTTTTTTTATTTTTTTTTCTTCTTTGTCATTTTTTTCTTTTTCTTTAGTTTCCATGATTTTTATCCACTTATCAGCTGTTATTACTAAAGGTAAATGTTCAGCAGCACGTTTGCGCTTTGATAACTGTTTTTTAGACTTAGGCTACATGACTATTTCATTTATGACTTCGTCTAATGATTTTCGACGCATTGTTATAGTATTAGGATTAGATACATTTTCCGTGCTAACAGAAGAAACAGCATCAGGTTTTATTACCTCAATAATAACAGGTGATGATTGGATAGCGTTATCACTGGAAGGAAGAATTGCTCTAACACTAGTAGAATCATTATCAATATCTAAAGGGATAGGAGGTTCAAGTAAAAAAGGAACTCCAAAATCTGAATTTTGGTTAGGACTGTGAGAGATCAAGGTTTCCAATTGTTCATCGACTAAAAAAGAATAAAAAACAAAATTAAATTAAAACATGATTTTAAAATTAAATTAAAAAACCAATGGAAAGACACTAAAAACCGATTAACATTAGGAAGTGTTCAAATTTAAGTTTTGTCTAATCATATACTCACCTTCATCAAGAATAGGCTCTGAAAATTCAGGAAACGGAAATTCAATAATGTCGTTGTCATTGGGAATCGAAGGATTGAGATCTTTAGACGCGAGAGTGAGGCACGATGAAGATTACAGTTCAATATCAACATTCTTATCATCTTCTACAGCCTTAACCCAAAAATCATACAAAAGCTCATATTTATCATCCCCTGATTAAAAAAAAGTATTGAGACAAAGAAAAAAATATTGAAAAGTATTGATCAAAGAAAAAAATATTGAAAAATATTGATTTTCTAGTCAATCCAATATTTTTCAATATTTTTTTCTTTGTCTCAATACTTTTTTTTATTCAGGGTCAGCTTCCCAACCAATGCCTGCGGCTCTTGCGTTCTTGAATCGTTGTAAAACTTCTGCATCAATTTTACTTTCAACGAATTGTCGATGAGATGAAACTTGTGATGATTTTTGTGAATCAGATTCGTTAAAAATATTGTGATCATTTTGAGATTCTTTCATCTCAACGCATTTAGTGTAATCAACCGCGTCAGCATCGAATAGGCATATGCCACAAGCTTAAAATCGACTCTTAATAACATTAAATAAATTTTCTTCATTGATGAGCTTTGACAAAAAAGCTGGAACATTATGTTTTTGCACATCAGCACCATTATTTTCGATTCGCCAATTACGGACCAAATTCTTCCACCGTTGTTTTAACGGGAAAAAAAAGATACATCGAGTGGCTGGAGAATATGTGTTGCGTGTGGCGGGAAACAGCACAGGATAATTTGTTTTTCTTTACAGAACTTACTTAGATGGATCGACATGTGAGAGACATGACCATCTAAGAATACAATCACTGGAAGTTCAATTTCACTCTCTTGAAGAAATGGATAAAAAACATTTGTAAAGTATTCATAAAAAGCTTCACTAGTCATCCATCCGTTTTCCGACTTCCCTATCCCCCAATTCTTTGGAGCAGAATCAACACAAATCGTCGGTAATCGTTCGTATTTAAATATTGTTAATGGGGGTGCAAACTCTCCAGCAGCATTAACATTAAACAACGTCGTTACGTTTTCTTTCTCATTACCAGCTACGTCGTAGACAGCCTTTCCTCTTTCGGCCAAAACAAGACCACCCTTTGGCGCAAGATGTATTGCTGTTTCATCCATATCAAAAACCTGTCTAGGATCTTCAAGAATTTTAATATCTTCACCAAGCTCTTCGGCCACATGCGAAAACCAAGAACGTATACCACTCTCAGTGACAACTGCCCGAACCTTGCAAAGATGTTCAGCTCTTTTTTGTCCAACTCGTGGATGACGTTTAAGGAAACCTTCAAACCACTTTCTTCCAGAAATATTGTTTTTAAACGGTTTTCTCATCCCTTCTGCTTCCACTAATTGTTTCACAGAGTGTATCAAAAAATCCTTATTTATCGGAAAACCCATCTTACTAGTCCCTAACAACCACTCTTCCAATTTTTCTTCGATATGATGACCAAGTACAGATTCCGGACCCACGCGACCTGAAGATTCTGGAGCTCTTCCTTTCAGCTTATTACGCAATGTCGTTCTAGGAATATTATATTGTTTAGATGCCGATGCAATAGCAGTTCCACTTTTGATAAACTCTAAAGCCTTTTTTAAATCAGCTGCAGGATACTTAAAAAACGTCCTTTTAGGTTTGCTGATTGTCGCTTGAGAAGACTTTGGAATTTTCTTCACGGTCTTCTTTTTTATTTTCGATGGCATTTTAAAATTTCTAAAATAGAAAAAATTAAAGAATTAATTATTAGTTTAATGATTAACATCTTTCATTAATTATTTTAAAATTAATAACCACATAATATACACCCAAATTGTGGGAAGAATTACCGGCAGAAATCATTGAAGCTGTGAGTTTAGAGAGTTTCAAAAATAAAATGTATGATTATCTGTTTAATTTGGATGGTTAGTAATATTAGATCGTGATAAATCAAGATAAGAATATGGTTAAATTAAATGATGTATTTGATCTCTTAAATTTAATTAATTTTTAGTGGTTATTCTTGGTACTTAGATAGTTTTTAAGTTACTAGTCACTACAGCATTAGTTAATAATGATGATAGCTTCCAGCGATAACTTTTTTATAAGTTTACAATCATTGTGTATAATTTTCTTTTTATTGTATTATAAAATTTTGTACTTTTGTAAAACTTGCCATCTGGCCAGCAGGCTTTGGCATAAATAAAATGAATCTGAATCTGAATCTGAAACCCAAGTAACTCAAGTTGTCAAGCAAATAAATATGATGGCCAAAACTGGAAAATACATGCACCACTTGTGGTCATGGCATGACCAAAAGTAGCGCTTGTATGTTTTTGTTGTACCAGTTACGGCTATGGGTTATTTTATTTACAGCTAATGAGGTCCCATTTTTTTCAAAATTTTTGTTTTTTAATGCTCTTCCAAGAAAATAATACCTGTTTGATCATCTTTGATTTATTCCTATTTTTTTCAAGTTTTAAGCAAAAAAAACATTTTTCAGAAATGTATACCCCCTTCGATTTTTTTGAAAAAATTCTCAAGAATACTTGGACAAATATAGAAAGTTTTTAGACCAATCCGATCGTGGACAGACGTTTCATTCTATATTTTTTATTAATTCAAAAATTTTTTTTTTTTAAATTGCATGTATTTACTTTTACACTCTCATGCATGTGCTCGGATAATTATTTTTTTGTACTCGAGAAACAATTTAATCGATATTTTCATTAATTTCATGATCGTATTAAGCACCATTTTTCAAAAAAATTGAAGGGGGCATACATTTCGAAAAAATGTTTTTTTTCTTAAAACTTAGAAAAAAAAATTAGGAAAACGGTAGACCCTGAAGGCCATCCCTGCACTTCCCGCCAATTCTATACCTAAACGCTTGAAATTGCACTTATGACGTTTTTGAGCTCTTCGAGCTCATAAATACAATTTTTGTGTTATTTTGAGCTGTCCGAGCTCAAAAAATTAACTTTTGTATGCTTTTGAGCTCTTCAAGCTCAAAAGTTTTATGGACGTTTGATAAAACACTATTTTTTGAATTTTTAAATCGCAATAACTTTTGAATGAATTAACCGATTTTCATGCGGTTGGTGGCATTGGATGCAATTTCTTAAGCTTCACGAAGAATTTTCAAGTTTAAATTGATAGAATGAAAAATTTCGGAGTAATTAAAAAAAAACAGTTTTTTCTGCGACGGGCAGAAAGCGTCAACTTTCAGCCCGCTGCGCTAAATAAAAGTGCCGCTTCCTCCCTTCGTCGAGCAAAAAAATAGTATACACTCCATGGGAAGAAAATAAGAAAGCTTCAAATCACATGTTTGTCAATCTCGGCTTCGCCTCGGCCGACAATTACATGTGATCTGAGACATTTCTTACTTTACTTCCCTAAAAACCACTTTTGAAAAAATTTTTTTTTGTAGTTTTTTTGCGATTTCTAGAAAACTACTGGTCCGAATCGTTCCAAAGTATATTAAAAATCTAAGTTCAGTCAAGCCCTTTCGAATGGCACCAACCGCGATCAAATCGGTCAAGCCGTTCAAAAGTTATGAGAGGTTTACATCCACACACACACACACACACACACACACACACACACACACACACACACACAC